GAGAATGAAAAGATCTGATAGTGGTGTACCACATACCAGGTAACCCAGGTCACCGGGACACAAAAGTTTCCCCTGACACCCACTATCGCACGCCACAAGATAATTGTCGGAAGGTTCCACATAAAAGTGCAAACACTCTGGCAAGATCAAACGCTTTCTCACAATAGGCCGGTTCTATCCCGAATGTTCTTCCAGCTAATATGACAACGGTTTCCTCGGTAGATAACCCTCAAAGAAGGTTTGGCTATCGTCCATACACTCAATCTTGGTCATCTTACTCTTGTAATGGGGGCTAGTTTTATCTCAGAGCGTGGAAATACAATTAGTCCCTACTTTCCTATCTGATTACTGTCCCGCAAATTATCCACAATTACTAATCTATTTTAATAATACTGTGATTATCATCAACCTATTCTACCCACTTTGTTCATAGTCAGCTTCGTTTAGCTGTCATTTTCATGCGTCTAGTTGCCCATATCAATTCATTTACTTATTCTGACCGTCATCTTCTCTTGAGTACTCTTCAGTCTACTTTCCTAGTTTTTCACACTACAACTACCAATCGATTGCGCGGTAACGTGGCGGCTACTGGTTCTTGCAACCCTAGCACTTGAGATAAATGGGTCCACTTAAATTAAAGATATGCAAACATCGAGAAACTATCTGATTCATCAAGACTGATGCTATCAAACGTCATATTACCCTCGTTGAACTTTATTGGGGACCATAACACCAAGGAAGTAATCCAATTAGAACAACTCACCATAAAAATATTGAATATTGATTTCTTCTCATAGTGTGGGGTACTTGGATAATCTGCTAGAACAGGATATATCCCACCAGTGTGTGGTGTGCTCGTGAGGTAGGGTCTCTCAACATCTGAAGTCTCACAAAGAATCACCTTAGGTACAACTACTCTGCTTGGTTCTAAATGATGACCTCTTAGATAAAATTAACTTTCTGACTGTCATACGCCCAAGTGATAGCAAGATGTGGAGGTCCATTAGAAAGTAAAACGATTCACTCGAGCTCCGAAAAGACTATATAATGGCAGAGGGATGGGCGATAGACGAAGGGTTAATGCTTAACCAGTCGAAATGTTATGTCACGAACATTCTGCCTCATTTGACAGAAATAATCTACGTGCTTCATGAAAATTCGCTTCTTATTGTCTCCTCAGAACGTAATCTCGGGCTATTTTCACAGAGAGCTTAGACGCCATCTGAAACTACATTCAGGATGCAGCCGAAACAAATGCAACTCTTCACTTTATGCAAAGACAACTTGGTACACTCGCCCCAGAATTGTTTCCTCCACATTAACACGTACCCAAAACATTACTCCAAAGTCCACAATATTGGGTCTCCACACTTCGAACGAGACATGTGTCACAAACCAAGTATAAAGACCGACAACCAAACAGGTCAAAGAATAATCTTACATAGACAGACTACGACACTTGGAATTATTCTCGCTGAGCTATAAGAGAGTGTGTGGTGATCTGATAATGATGTACAACATATGAGTATGCCAAGTCGCTCCAACACGTGCATCCCACCAGAACATTATGAGCATGCTTAGCAAACCAACCACCGGAAAACTGCACATCAAGGAGAGAAAGCTCGGTCACACTCTCATTTTTTCTCACTTGGAGTCTCTCCCATTTGGAGTGTTCTCACAACCGAAATGATCGCAGCCTCCTCAGCGCATACCTACAAGAAGAGATTTGACGAACACACGCTCACCCATAGATTACCATCTATCACTTTGACTAGCTGTGCTGGATGCATGTCTCGTAACTTATCTACTACTATCGCTATCAAATGTCATTAATTTATTTCTACCTCACTCACTGTCAACTACGTCTCCCCTTTTCTTCCTACACTATGGTTTGCTCACGACGTTTCTATTGCTAATTTGCTAACCTGTTTATTTACTTACTCCTTGAAGCGGTTGTTCACTTTTAGCATTGGAGTTTTCGTCATATTATTTCTCACATTGCAATCATCTAACCTGCTGTCTGGTAATGTGACATTTCCTGGTTCAAGAAACCTCAAATGATCTGAGAAAAACCCACTCACTATCATTAGAAGATGTACAAATCCAAGCCATTAATAATAATAATAATAAACTAGATACCAAACTGAGTGGAAATAGTAAAGTCGAGTGGCTAGACTGTCACTCACTGAACACTGCAAAAGGCCTAAAAGCGCACAAAAACAACAAGAGGCGAAGACAGAAGAATGAATTGATTTTCATAAGCTAGTAAATAATATATTGGATTTTGGTGGTGCCCAGCGCGTGTTTATTTGTACTGCCTAGTGACTTAAGGCGCGAAGATTTGTGTGTTATCTGTTCTTGTGATTCTCTGTATGATTGTTCGGTGGGTTTTCGCATCGTGTTACAACTTTTATTATGAAATTATCTTACGAAACTGAATTCTGTTTTGTCGCAAAACTTCAAATGCGTGCTGAAGTGTAGGAAAATCACTGAGCTCATCCAACGTCCTGGCGCATTGCGTTTCCTGTTATTACCCTTTTGATTTTGGGACTTGCTAAGTATTTCGTGAATTAACTGTTTTTTCTCTCTCTGGTATCCGCAGAACTATATATGTATTCAGAACATCTATGTAAAACAGGTGATATGTCCTCTGTAAATTGAGTTAGGACGACAATCTATAGTCAGTTACCTTTAGTAGGTGCTTCGATTTCCATAAATGTCTCAGTTTTTGCCAATAATATTGTTAATTACTAGCCGAGATGCAAGTAGACATCTGACTAACAGTAGTTCCTGTTGTCGAATCTAAATACTTAGAAGTATCTGAAGGATTATGTATGCTGAAGTAGTTGGATTTGGGGATACATTTTTTTTCGGGCACTCGGTGGTCTGTCTGAGTGTATTTATTCACCTCTTGAGTCTAACTGCGGATGTTTCCGAACATTAGACAAAAACTAGCAACTGGATAGCTTCATTTATTAGCTTTGAATCCGTTCACTAACATTTTAGTGATGAGATACAGACATAACATCACTTATTCCTACAAAGACTGGTCACCTTATATATCAGGTGCTTATTGTGCCACCAGAGACAACTGCATTTTTCAGTAGTTTGCTTGGATTTGACCTCTTGTTTGGCAGTCATTGTTAAATGGTACCACGGTGAGACTAATTTATGGACGACCCTTGAGCAACGCTAAGGTGACCTTGTGAGTGTCTACCTACTTACTAGGGCTAAGTGAGGGTTATAAAGCAGTTTCAAGAATAAGGATTATGATTTGTAGTTGGTGATTGGGGTCAGGAATTAGATTTAAGGTTTTCATCACTAACTGACATCAGCTATAATACCAGGATTCCATTTAGCCAAATGGGTGAATGAATTTCGCGCCAAAATGCAAAATTTATTATCTTAAGTCTGATTCGTTCGTCCATAAATTGTAGTCTCGCCGGTACCACAGTCTTACAATCATTAGCATCCATGAACTTGATGCATTCTTAAACGGTTTATTGTTCACACTGAAGTCTAGTTAACCAAACCTAACCACCCTAAATGTCTCCAAATAATTTCGATGTGGCTGTATCACTAATTTGATCTGTATTGGTCTCACCATCTTAAATGTAAATTCCAATAGCTTAGTGTGAATCACACTACTTCTTGGCACCCAATTGTACTAATTTTACGTGAAATAAGTAGAAGTAGATACATTGTCTACATTGGGAATTATAGGGCGATGTATCCCGTCCACTTGTTCATGTTTGACGTAAAACGTGCAGCAAATCTGCACCTTCATTTGGCTCATGATTGTATATATATTCACTCTACCATAATTTAGACTTTGATTCCCAACGTCAATTCATATTACTTATGTTGCAAATTTATCCTTCCTTTACGGACCGCGTCCTTTGTCTTTAGTCTTTTTGCTATCATTGACACTACTATCGTCCTAACCTATTTACCAAGAACCTTGTTGATTTCGCCTTACATTATAAGATTAACGAGATTCTTGGTAAAGGAGTTGAAATGATGGTAGTATTAATGATAGCGAAAAGACTAAAGATAAAGGACGTGGTCAGAAAAATAAGCTTGGAAAGTAAGAAAAATGACTTGACGTTGAGAATCACTCTAAATTATAGTATAGAGTGAATACATACGCAACCCAACAGCGAATTTCTAGTCACCCTGTTAATGACACTACACGTACCAATATAGAATAATGGTCAGTGGCACCGTCTGTTTAATAGCTATCTTTAGAGGTCATACAGATAACTGTGACTGCGACAAAATTAGTCCAAAGAAATTCTGTGTCTGAAAACGCACTAGGATTATTCATTTCGTCTCTTGCGGCCTACAAACTGATGTGCGGCGTTATGTGGGTTTTTTGAAGTAAAGGAGATAGACACATCTAGAATACGGCGCTATAAAAAAATGCTTGGTTCAAACCATTGGCTTTAATATGGAACGTGTGATCTAACCTTACTCAAACGGCTGGTAAACATTTGTTCAAATTGCTAGTTTAAAGACGAATTATTGACATCCACAAAGTCGTAATAGTACATTTATTTAAAACCGAGGACAAGTTTTGTGATTCGATACATCCGGGACTACTTAAATCTGTTATGATATTCGAATATTCAAATAGCATATGAACCTAAGGTTGATCACCGGCTTCCATAGGACTGCATCTCCTCACGATGCTCCACTGTCTTATGGATCAGACCTTCAGGTCGAAGGCTCGGGGTGTGGCCCTCTAAGAAAACCACCTGCTTCGGTTTGGGCACCCGGGTATCACAGCCTTCACACATATCGAATGAGATTTGTGTGGCGCATATGTATTTGGTGCCTCCTTGTACCAATATCTATGTGTTAAAATAAATAAACAAATGTGATATTCGAAGGGCAACAACACCGACTATTTTTTCAGTTATCTTTTAATTATGTGATGAAGATTAAAAGAGTGGATTCAGTAGTAAAAGTGTTATCTTTGTCTTTCAGATAAGCCTAACATGGTTACAGCTGTTCAGCCAATGTTTGGTCTTTTAAAACGACTCCACCTACATCCAATGGAAAATGCTTTAAATGAAATAAGTCCACAAACTTCCCTTCTGCAATCTATAAAGTTTGTAAGTTTTATCTGTTCCTCAGCCATTTCAGTAGAAAGCCCAGCCATTTCTGTTTCGTAAAACCAAATCTGAAGAAATACGACGTAGTCACGACAGTATGGGCCAGAAGAGACCATCACCTTACCTTTCTAACACGGACCTGAAAACTGCCAAACGTTGTAAGTCTTATTTGCTATTATAAACCACTTCCACTATTTCAGCGTAGTCTCTTAGTTGCCTCATTCTTTATGTGATCCAAAATTATTCATTACCAAGAAAAACTTGATAATACGTCAGTGAGTGTTGAATACGAGTTTTAAAGACTTGTTTTGGGTTAAAATGATAATTAAAACGCTGATCAACAAGTGATACACAGCTACACAATTTGTTCCACTGTTATGTGCTTGCCACATCGAATTATTGACGTTAGTCTACTGGTGAAATGTAACGAAAAGACAACACATCTGCTCAAAGAATAGATTCCCGCTAGTTAAATGACATGGTTGCGTACAAAATATATAAAACAAAAACAAACATGGTTGGGAGTGATTTGAAATAAGTAAATGGAAGACGTGGATTTTATATGTTGCTCAAGCCTTAACGAAATTAATGTCTGTCTAACAACCTCATATGATTAATTGAGGTAATTTTTGATGTAACGTTTGTTAGGATGAAAATCCTTCATTATTATACTACTTCACGCCTAAAGTATCTGGTTCTGTTTCTTTTGCAGGATATTTCATTTTAAACGCCCTTTTTTACCATCACGATTAGTTTCTAAATTGGGGGTATGCGGAACTGTTCAGACACTTACAATATGTTTATTCATCCTCCACAAAAGTTGTATCTGGACTATCAGGTGTAGTAGACTATTTAAGGAACTAGAATCATTAATTACGGTCTCTATCTCGTTCAAACGTTATGTTGTATCGGAAATCAACTATCCTTTTAAGTAAATTAGTACGATGTTATATTTTGGATTCAATTAATGTTGAATATTAATTTCGACCCCACTTTTCATGAGTTGTGATAAATAAAACCTGATTCTCGAATTTTTCATGCAGAACACTATGAATTGTAAATCTCATCAACTTTACGATCTGGCAATATTTTAGTATATCCATACAAATCCTGATCAAATAGTCTGACATTTTATGTAAACCGTAGCATTCTTATAGTAATTGCATTTTCTATGCTTTTTTTAGCCCGCCGTGTTACGAAATTAACTGATAAGATCGTAAATCCCGTGGATGTAAACTTTAAACCTAATTATGAGAACTCAAGCATAAATTATTCAACTTTATCTCCTGGAGTAACCCCATCAAATCCACCCATCTTTCCATCTCCTACTTCAATCAATTCCCCCAACCTTTCTGTATCAAATGTTTCATATTCTTTACGCATCCCGAACTCTAGCGAAACCCCAGTAATTTCTCATCCGAAATATCTGTGCCTCCAAAACTCCCCGCACCCAGTTTGCCAGTATCGATCCCAAGTTACTCCCGTCGTTAGAACTAATCCCACAGAGTGCCAGACACGTATTTCTACACGTAGTACGGATTCATTATTAGATGAGAATCATTTTGTGATTGAAGAGGAAACACCCGCTACTTCTATTTGTGCAAAGGACTCCCTCCATTTAAATAAAATAACTGGCCATCTTAGTGGACAGAATCTTAAGGATGTTCGATACGTGAGTCGCTCACGTAATACCAGCAGATTGTCTCCTGTATCTTCAGTATCTAAAAGATATGGTAATTCGGACGATAACAAATGTGATGTGAAGTTGAAAAACAAAGATAAAGTTATGATTGTATACAAGGAACCATCAAAGCGTCGGAAATCTATTGATCAGCTCATTGAACCTTCGATTCATGGATTACCAGATCCCGAAATTTCCACTAAACCTCGTACACGAAAACCAACTCAATTTTTACAACTTAATGCACAAACTACTGAGTCTTCGTGTAATGATCAAAAGCCTGCCTATCTCACTACTCAGTCATATTATTATGTACCAGATTTTACTAACCGTCATCTCCGAAGTCCAGAAACTGTCCAAGTTCATGTGATAGAGCCGAGAGGTATACCAAAGATGTCCAATTCATCTGTTCTTATTGAGGGTAAGTTATATTTTTGCTGTTATCTCGTCAATTTCCGACCACAATTTTATTTAAAAGTATTATCATATAAGGTTATCTCTTCAGTTTGAGGGCTAAAAAAGTCATGTACAAGTGGTATTTGATTGGCAAAAGTACGAAACTAACCAGCTAAGTTTGTAGGCTCCAACGACGGCGTTAGGGAATATATATAGCTGTCATTAGGTTTTGTTAATTTTTTATGTGAACTAAAAGAAAAACGGAAATCGAAGGTTTTGATGCTTTTGAATAGACTCATCTAATGAAATAAGAGTACATCAGAATTTCAATTAATAGCTTTCTGGTTTAAAAGTATTCTGTTTGTTAATTAATCAAGCTGCTGAAATATGGTAACGAAAAACAATCTCCATGTTATTTTACATTATTACCCATCAAGCAAGTCATGACAAAACTTTTACACTACTACCGATGCTAGGAACCTACCTGTTATTATTTTATGACTGAAGTACACATTAAGTTCAAATTTTCTAAAAGTTACAGAAGTCCATTCTACCACTCCTATAATCATGGTGACCTTTTCAAAACTGAAGATTTTTACTCATGTAACTCTAGTTAATTGTAAGTTCATTTGGTTTTAAACTGCATGTTTTCCACGTTACTGGGATGCCGAAGCTAGAATAGATGGGGTGATGACCAAACTTGCGATCTAATGGTTTATTGTCAAGTGATTTTGTCACTAAGCCATTAATCTATGACTTTCCAAAATGCTAAGTATTGTAGTCAGTATCGTTATAAATTACTGCTGTTTTTATGTATATTATTTATATGACCCTCATTCTTTAACTAATGTTCTTTTACAATACACACCAAGCAAACCGCTTCTCCACAGCATCTTGTGATAAAACAAGATTCATATACAGAAGAGCTCGACAATATACGTTTCAGAAATAATTTGTAGCTAAAATTGTTTGTCGACTAAGTATTCAGTTTTGTCCCCATAATTTATTATTGCGATTTTTCCCCATACAAGCCTCATTTCTTACATTTCTTTGTTTAGTTCCTAGCTGGCGTGTTATACCTATCCCAGGTGTCGAGATCTATATGGATTGTTCTTGTGGGACAAAACATTCCAAATCATGTCCCAAAAAACACCCAGACAGACGAAAACTAACAGATACGGATACTCTTAAATCATGTAATCTCCGCGCCTTACGATCCAGCTTACTGACTATTAACTCTGTCCATTCAAATAAAAATTATCCAACTCCAGAACTTAAGTCAAAACCCAGGTCTGGATCTTCCCAGACACAAAAAGAGCATTACCAAGTTGGAGAACCTATCAAATCAGTTGGCGTTTTGAATGAAAACATATCAGACCCAGCATTCCTTGCTCGCCATTCGCGTTTGGAAATTGAGGAAGTTCGTCACGAACGCTTATCTCGCCAACGTACTGCAGAACAAGAACTAAAGCAACGTTTGGAAGAAAGGGATCAAGCCAGTTGGGTAAGGGAGGAGCGCTTTACACTGAGTTATCCAAGAGTTAGTAAAAAAAATCTAAATTATCAGTATGTTAATATTTTCGTATATGATAGTTCGGGTTTCAACCATTCGGTAGTGTAACATGTCTAGTAACTACATGTTTAATCCTATGTTAACTACTTGCCACATGTACATGGAGAATCAATTTACTACATTTCACAGCTGTATTTTTAAATCTTGGTTAGTGGTGTGCTGTAATTGCTTAGCTTTTTGAAGTATAGATTTATGATTTACGAACGAATTTCCGATTATTTAAAATAAAAGAGCAGAACTTTTGTCGATGGGTTATATTCATTAATACGATGTAGTTGGATAGTGACTGCTCATGAAATAAATTATTGACGTAAGCCGCTGAGACCGAAGGCATAACTACTAGCTAAAAGAATAGGTTTTTATATATTGAGATAACATGTTCATACAAAAATAACGGGACCAGATGTTTTCAATTATTGGACAGAATTAGTTTTGTAGGTCGCTCATTCTCCAACAGATAAGGGCCTAATTGTTAGACTCCACCATATCACCCAGTTAGGTAGCCAATTTTGTTTTCGTATTTCGCTGGTTACCTAAATGTTTCGTTTCTAACGAGAAAACAAGTATAAGTCTAATTTTTACATATTCTACAGATGGTTTCTGTCAAAATTTACTCGGTCCAAGTGTTAGAACGAACTGAGGATAACCGTTCATCGTTAACATTCTTATTTCAACGCTTAGATTAACCAAAACTAGTTCAATCCTGGTAGGTTTGAAGCTATTACGACTTCACTTAGTATGCGAACGGAACAAAGACTTGTGACCGTAGACCAGCTAGCTATTTGATGTGTCCCAGCCCCGCTAACTAGAGGAAGAAGTCCAAGCTTGGAACTGAAAAGTATATTCCGTAAACCAGAAGCACGAGTGAATAATAACAGATACAAATCAAACGTATATATACAGCATAAAACTCCTTGGGAAGCGTAACAAAAATAGCATACTAAAAATGCACAACGGACCAATAGCGTTGAAGATTCTCCAAAGTGGGAAATACGACATAAAGGTGAAAAAGAGCGCTTTTGGCGCGAAAACAAAGAAATTTAAATTTCTAAAATAAAATTACAAAATTAAGGGATTTACCAAGTGAGTTCTGGGGATCTAACATCCCCAACAAATCCCAGCTATAAACTCCGTTAAGAAGCGACTTACTAGTTTAGGAGAATTTAAACTGCTTGTAATATTCGTTCAGTTTTTGCACTGTTTGTATGTGAAGTAGATTGCTTTCGTTGTCCACCAATTTCACAACCTTATTTTATGAAGCTTTTTTATATCCATTCCCTTGATTAGCATAAGAGACAACCTGGTCGTTTGGATCCACTTCTGAAGTATAGACCAGCTAGTCGGATGCCGACTCAGCTAAGCTACGCACTCAAGCAAGGTTAGAACATTTTTTTGGAAACATTTTTTAATTCTTCCTTTTTCGATCCATATTTTAGCATCATTAAAGCTTAAAAAGAACTCGTTTCGATCCAATAGAATTTATAAACTGCTTTATGGGTCATTAAGTATTTTATCTTCGTGTTTAAGTTGTGAATTTTCAGATATTATTCAGTTCATTTAGTCCGTTAAGGCCGAGTGATTCTCAGTTGATATTGTCATAGATTATTACCCATATCAAATTGTATGCAGAAAGTTAATAAAAATAAGAGTCTATGCTCACTTAAAATCCCATATTTATGCCGCAACATTATATGACTTAATAATTCACCTGCTAAGTAAATCAAGATTATGTATCCACTCAGTGTTCAGTAGGACGATAATACTTGAGTTACATTAAACTGCTCTGATTCTCCCACTCTAGTCCGACTAACGTAACCCAATCCACATTTTCACCAATTAATTTACTTTCCCTAAATAGATCACCTGACTTCAATGCAACAGCATAATATGAATCACAGTCAACATATTTCTACATTGTTTACTTACCACTACTACAATAACAACATTTATAAAAAGACACTTTATGATTATTTTTAGGTTTGTTTTGATTTACTGGTTACTCAAAATCATTCTATACATCTTCAGACCATATTTTGAAAATTTGTTCCTTGTTTATCAACCCAATGTTTCCACCCTATCAATCTTTGTTATTTACTTTTTCCCAAGGACATCAATTTCACGTAGATAACTCTATACCGGTGGTCGCATTCGGTTGTCGTGTGCCAATAGCATCGCTAAAGTAAGTGATTAATACTTGTTCTCATAATTCGGCTAATACCTTATACTTTTGTTATAATCTCTATCTTCTTACGGTTATGACCCAGCTATTCCTATTGCTTAGTATTCTTGGACACCGATTCACTCGACAAGTCCCCAAATCAGAACACGGTTGAACAGGAAGGAGATTATATTCCAAATAACAAGGTTAGATGGAAGCAAGAAGCAAGTCAGAAGCACAATAGGGAAAACGTCAGTATATTTATAGTTTTTTACATAAGAAGATTCCAGAGTATTCTCCAACTATCGACTAGTGCTGATTGGATAAGAATTAGCCAATCAGCGTGCACCGAAGCAATCATGCATTGAGCATGCTTTAATCTAGTCTATGTCCCGCTAACACCTCCCCTCTGAGCAGATTCGTAGGATCTGGTGCTAGGGTCCAACTTCAACTGAGTGACTGGCTTGTGCTTTCGATTAGTTCATCGTCTAGGCAATAAAGAATTATCACTTTTTTCTTGCACAGAGACTGACGTGTCTGTTCCCGGCGTTCTGATTTTTTTTTTAAAAAAAAGTATGCATAAATTTTAATTCTCCAACATTCTCCTCCTCCGCGAAACAATGTCGGATCCTTATATCTCCAAGTTACAAATAATAGGACTTTATTTAAACGATGTTTCTTGCATTGAATGTCGGATCCACTAGAAATGACTAGATGATAATGAACAACCTTTGATTTGAGATCAGAGTTTAATTCTTCTGAAGCATTACTTTCAAATCCATTAGAAATTTCATCAGTGGATAATGGATCATTACGGAAATCAACATCTAACAAAATTAAATTAGACTTTTGACCATAATTTGACTCAGCCGACATATCTTCCTCATTTTTATAAGAAATTTCATCAAAATTACATGCATTATTCTGAGAACCCATGTCTGATACATTGTCATTAGAAATCGGATAAGCTGATTCAGTATAAATTTCTGTCTCACATTGATTTTGAGTAACATTCAGTATATTTGGGTTCATCGTGTCACTGCAGTTATTTTCTGAATACGAGTCCCCATAGCTTTCTTGGCTAATATCACGTGGACCATAAATTTGTTCTAGCTGAAATTTATTTTCAGAGCTAGACAGGACCAGTAATGCTTCACTCAATTCTGGACTCCATGCTTCATCTACAGCGTCTGGCTCTTGATCATCTCGTATTGCCACAAATTTATGAGCATTCAGCACAGTATTTTCTTGCTGTGAGCCGGACACGTTACAAATATTACGTTCTGATTCAGGTATAAAGGGATTTGAACCCTCCACTAGATATGCTTCTGAAATGTCTGTTACTGCATCATAAACAGATTTCTTATTTTCTGGTCGGGTGAAAAGTGTGCTCAATAGTTGTTGTTGCAAGGCTAACAACTTCTGCTGGTGTTGTAATATTAACCGCAACTATTCTAAAGAAATCGCCATTTTTCTTTAGTTTTTCCTCGTCGCCACTGTTATAACTCTGTTTTCTTACGGTTATGACCCAGCTATTCCTATTGCTTAGTATTCTTGGACACCGATTCACTCGACAAGTCCCCAAATCAGAACACGGTTGAACAGGAAGGAGATTATATTCCAAATAACAAGGTTAGATGGAAGCAAGAAGCAAGTCAGAAGCACAATAGGGAAAACGTCAGTATATTTATAGTTTTTTACATAAGAAGATTCCAGAGTATTCTCCAACTATCGACTAGTGCTGATTGGATAAGAATTAGCCAATCAGCGTGCACCGAAGCAATCATGCATTGAGCATGCTTTAATCTAGTCTATGTCCCGCTAACAACTTTATACATTGTTTTCATTTTTTAATAGTTTTACAACTATAACTGGTTGTGTTGTTGCAATAACTTCTGACACTAGTTGTGGACAGTTGACTGCAATCTATGGTCATCAAATAAAAAGATTGTCGAAAAATAACTAATAGCTGCTAACTTATCATCCACGGCTGAATAAAAACGGTTACTTGTGCAAAATACAACGAGTGAATGTGTCTGTCGTATTTGATGTAGTCCACTTATAATCTTGGATCACTAGTTTCTATCATCTAGAGACTCTTCTCCAAAAACCTGCATTTCCCTTTAAATAAAAAATCGTAAATTGATCCTATGATTAGATTAATATCAACGTTGACAAGAGTTACTGACCAGTCGAAAACTGATGCATGGAATAAATCAATTTCTGGAAGTTTTATAAAGATTTCAGTGTAATCTATACTTCATGTTTATCTTTTCTTTTTTATTGATATCGTATTCAGTACTTTGAAATCATTGTTGTAATGGAAATATAAATATCAGGGACTGTTTATTGATTGACGTGGCCATTAATTTCCTCTCACTGTCGAAGTAGTAGTACATAGTTATGCAGTATCGTATGTCATTTTCGCGTGGCCAAACAAAATACGTGGGATTGAGATCAGGACAGGTAGAAATCTTGTATATGGAAAGATAGTTGCATATTCGTGGTTCCAGTTTAAGTGGTGAGGTGTCACATTCGTTATTCAGTATTCGGTGTCAACAGTCTCTACAAACTATTCACCATTGATTCATAAATTCTAATTTATGAACCATAACTTAGGGCGACTTGTCTTCATGGACTTTAACTCAACCTTACCGTTTTAATGATAGTGCTTCTAATTATGTTACTAAACATTCGAACCAAGTAGGTTTAGGGGGATACCTTATTCAGCAATGTCGGTATATTTATTTATTTGAACACATAAATATTGGTACAAGAGAGCGCCAGTATATATGCGCCACACAAAACAATGAGAATTCGAAGAGAAAGAAAAAAAGGTAAGGAGCGTGAAAAAAAGAACAATAACGAAGAGGTTGGTGTAACGTAGTGTAGTAATAATAATAGTAATAATGAGGAAACGGAAAGGTACAATCAGAAGAAATCTTTCGATTAAGGGAGACACAACCACTTTATGAAGAAAGTAAAAGGTTGCAGCAGGATCGCCACTGGCTTCTATTCTGAGCCATATCTAATAACGTCTCTAGCCACTGTGTACCACCATCTATCGGACCCCAACCAGGGAGTCGTGAAGGACCGACAGAAGCCAGTCCTTTGCAGCTTTCTTTCATACCACGACACCATGTCATGCACTGACCACCTCTCCGCTTCTTCCAACCAGTCCCAGAGTCGGCAAATAATGCACGACGTGGAATTCTCTGGGACGACATTCGGAGAACATGTCAGACCACCGAAGTCGGTGTTTCAAGATGGTGACATCGATTGCAATGTCGGTAACTGTAATATTTGTGAAGAATTTAATCTTTATAGCTTTTGGGCATCCATCATCGCGTCTTTTATTTTTCTCTTTATAGACCCTTCACAAAGTTCAGCATTCAATAAATTCGCACTAACGTCAGGTTATTCACAGCATGTACAGTCTTTCGTTTTAACTTTTGAAGCTTTTCACATTGTATATATTAGCTTTTGTTACACTATTGTTCCTACGATTTATTCTTCCATCATCAGTTGGCTAAGTGCTTGATTCCTGTTATCTACCCTCACAAATACAATATACTGACCCTAAAGCTGCGTCCTTTGAATTTTTTCTTTGTTAATATCAAATTCATTTTCATCCTTGGACTGGCGTTATTATTATTTGGCCAAATCATCCATATATCAGTTTTTCGATAAGGTTCATTTTCTAAATGATACTATATTTTAAAAAAAATTACGAATCAAACTTTATGTTATTGTAATTCAGTAGTTTAACTTCAGCTGTTTTAATCGCTACCAGAAACGCTTTAAATAATCCACTTCATAAGTTTGTCGTAATGACCGTGAAGCTCTGTATAGAATTCCACATGTCTTTTACACTAGTTTTTCTTCCAGCTTACTATACTATCTAAATACATGTATGCATTTCTTTTCATATAAAAGATCTGTATTTATAATTCTATTGTTTTCATTAAATCCACTACTAGTTGTCATCACTTAACTTTACACTTTAATACAATATAAGTTAGTAATGTTTACTCCTGTAAAAAAGTATTTGATGGTAAAAGCATTTAGGTAAGGTACTAGTTAATTCTTATCCTGGCATTTATGTCGAAATGAAAACTGAAGGGATAGGTGAATAAAAACGAGGTATTAAAAGTATAGCTTGGAGAGGTATTCTGCTACAGAAAATAAAACAAACGACAATCTCGGCTCTCTAAGATAAAATTATGTGTGGTAATTTCTGCAACGGTCTCTAAACTGAGACCAATGAAATTACCTGTATTTTTCACCTGCGGACGGGTGCTGTGAGCTTGCTCAACCCCGTCCACGGGTCGGCCTCGTGTTGCATTATCTCAAGAATTGGCTAGCCCCCAAACGCCCTGGTATGACCAAGGGTGGGGAGAGTCCGCTCTCCCTCTCAAAGTGCTCACATGGCCACGCATATACGGTTACTGCCAGGAAGGTCCTACTCACTGCCTTCTCGCGGCATTACTATTGTTTACAAAATTGAGGACGAAAAGCGAATGTCAGGCGCCTTAACCAGGTTGGTGGATATGGAGGATCCACCTACAGTAGTTGAAAAATTCTGATTCCAAAACAATGGTGCACATGGGTTCCGGTATCCTGAGGGAACAAATGGCGTATGAACCAATCCTTGGTCACCGGCTACCGTAGGACTGCATCTCCCTACGTTGCTCCACTGCCTTGTGGATCAGAATTTAGGGTCAAAGTCTCTGAGTGTGACCCCCTAGGAAAACCACCTGCTTCGGTCTGTGCACCCGGGCAGTATCACAGCCCACACACAAATGAAGTGACTTGTGTGGCGCATATGTATTCAGTGCCCCTTTGTACCAATGTTTTCAAATAAATAAGTGGAGATGGTAATACTTCACATCATGTACTTCCCATAGGAAACCAACATATCCAGTTCTATCGCTTTTCACTGTTAAGAAACCTGTGTCACTTATGCCACTTTGTAAATTGTTCAAGTATTCAATAGAACGAATATTTTTCAAAATCTTTGATCAATTCTTTAGGTTGGTAAGACTCACTACTGATCAAGATTCTTTAGACATCAAGCATAAATATCCTTCGTATTCACAGATTTCGTGTACCTTTCATCACGGAAGAACTTATCTGGATGTGGTGAACTGTTATTGAATTATCAGGGTTATTTGCGACTCGACAATATATCGATCTGTATGGTTACATAGTGATCTTTATTAACGGTTGTAAAAACATTTTATCTTCTTATGTTTAGCATTATGTGCCAGATTGCATGAGGGTGGATCATAAGGTGATGCTACGTCATAATTGAGGTGATCACCCTGTGAAACCGAACCCATAGATAGTTTCTTCCTAGAACCTAGTTGCACACATTAAAATCCTGAGTGACTACTGTCTCACAACTCTGGGAGTTTTGTGTTAGTGATTGCCTTATCTTGAGTCTTAATAATTTTGGTGTTGGTGACGTCAATTTGGTTGGTAATAGAACGAGGGAGGCTAGATACACAAATTCAGATCTTATCAGACATTCTCACACCGAGCAGAAATTATTTTCTTTGCTAAATTTAGACAATCTTAAGTGATAAGGTAAAGTGTATATAAAGCAGGTCGTGTTTTACCACACTACATTCCATACAGTCAGTACAAGTTGATTTATCAAAATGTTTTTATATAAATAGGTAGAAATGTGAAGTAAATTAACATCAAACTTGTCGAGACTGTTGGAAGCAACTAATGTAAGCAATAGTATGAACATAAGATTCAGGCCAATTCGATAACTACAACAATGAGTGCTCGCATAAGACAGTATTGTGATATCTAAATTTTACGCAAAAACCTAAAAGTTGCTTGTAGATTCTGATCATCTTGTTCTTATACTATTCTTTACCTAATTTATCCATTAAGATTCATCTTGATACTTATTTTTGAAACATTAGACGCACTGTTTAGCTTCCTTTAAAGCAATTGGATTTTTCCACACGACACTACCTATCATATCATTTGTTCAACTTGGGCAACCAATTGACCTAGAAATATCTCGTCACCAAGTAAATTCATTCTATAAAATTAACATTTCCATATTTTCACTCTGATCAATGGATTTTGAAGGTTACCCTCATATTTTTATTAGTCGTTCTGGTATATTAAGAAATACTAAAAAACATTGGTATCATATGACAGACTTTTATCTCAAGGTCAGTTGATGTTCATTCGTTATTTCTTTATTTTTCTAGATTAGATTTATAGGATTATCAATAGCATAGACATGAAGAATATATAATCGTATCTTGATTTAGTTGACAATATAATTTACAACAATGGACAAATTATCAATCAATTGTAATGGTATCACAGTGACTAATAATGTTACTTTTGTTTTCAATATAAATACAGTTCAGATCTAAATTAATAAAGTAATTAATTTTATATGTAACTACCATGAGTAATACATGAAGAATAAGATTTAGTGAATATGTTGGCTGTTACATCATTAGTAAATGCTTGATACATCCAGCTGAGGAATCTTAACGATGCAAATCTTAAAAATAATCTTTAATGTAGTTAACAACACTTAAAGTGCTCTCAACTTGTAGTTTAATCATTATATGACCTCAGTAATCCAGTTTTCAATAATTCTAGAAACAAACCATAATTTTTCTGTAGTTACTTAAATGGTATCGATTTAGAATGAAAATTGCTTTTAAAATTGACAAACGATTGATAGTTGTCAACTTGAATTGTAGTCATCAATAGAACTTAGGACTGGTGATTTGTCATATTTGAGACTTACTATTTGAATGTTCATTCATCCCAGTCATGATGTTTACTCTGAGGTTTGAAACCAGTACCTATCACCTCGAAAGTCTAACTGACAAGTCCCAAACATGATGGAAAGAACATACTAGGTTCTACTGCTAGCCACAATCCACCTTTATTAAAATATGCCACTAAATGGTAGCGTCGTAGTAATACTCTCGGGATGTACATATGCCAATAGAGGCTGGTCAGTTACTGTCATTAATACCAATAGTTGGAAAATACAAATCTTTACAAATTAACTGATGACGTATAATTTCGAGATGTTTGGAGATAGTTTGAACCAGTGAGTAATCTTGAAATGATAATTATTGAAAATCCGAGAATGACAGATATCTGTTACATTTTGGCATAAAATTCTTCCGGAGTAAGCACACAAGACTATATGAGGAACTGAAACTAGAGTCATTAGGCGAGTGTAGTGTACTTATACCACTGATTTGGCACCTTAATAAGGTGGGCTATTGAAGGGAGTCGACTATGTACCTATTGAAGATTTCGGCCTATACGTTTGTCCAAGTATGAATAACAATTATATATATATATACCTCAACATTCACAAGGGAAAAAGCGAGATTCTGAAGCACAACATAGCGAGCACCACCAAAGTCACACGTGGTGCTCTGGGACACTTTGGGGCCTCATCTAACTGGACACCATCGTTGATAAACAAGGAGGATCTGATACAGATGTGAAGAGACGAATTGTCAAAGCAAGGGAGAGTTTCATGTAGTTGGCCAGTGTCTAAAACTCTGAAGTACTATCATGCATGATCCAAGTCAGAATTTCCAACATTTGAAACGTCAAAACAGTTCTACCGTACTGAGCTGAGAATTGGAGAACTACCCCAAGCTTCTGAAATAGAGTACAGGTATTTATAAATAGTTGTCTGTTGAAAATACTCTAGATCCGTTTGACCAGAGACCAGATAACAAATGAAGTACCGGATAAGAAGGGAATTGGGAAAAGATGATTGAGGTGGATCGGACACAGTTTACGGAAACCATTAAACTGTATCACAAGGTAAGTCCTAATCGGTAGACTTCAAGACAAAAAGTAAGAGGCAGACCAACTAAACGTTTGGAGTCGAACATCAAGATCATCGATAGCACTTGGCAACAGTTGGAGAAAGGATCCCAGGACATATTTACTTGTCGATCTTTTGTCTGTGTTCTCCTATGTTTCAATATTAGTAACAGGCCTAAGTAGGTAAGTAAGTATCGTAAGAGGCGGATGGATATAAGTGGGACAGTGATAACAAACTTCACATCTAAAAAACGTATTTTTATAGGCTGGATATCCTTCCATGAGATTATATAGATGCTACAAAGTATTCCCACTGTTTACTACTATATAAATATGACGAAAATTAAGTTTGTCATTAAGCAGTCTACAAATACTGAACTACTAGCGAAAATCTAGTTTTGCAGATATGGAGGGTAATAATTCGCAAATACTTTATGAATTGTGCAATTTACTTCGGAACTATTAAAAATTAAGTTATCTTATTGATGAGTTATCTGTTGAAATCTGCTCAATTTTTAAACCATTTTCTAACCATAACTTAATATGTAATATAG